CAGCCTTGTCTCAAGAATATGTTTTATCTTCCTATTATAGATGCTGCTTAGAGCAGCTTTATCTTTTACTGCTTCTAACCTTGCAGGCTTCTTCCCTACTAGACAGGAAGGGAGGCCTTGAAGATAGTGTAGACAATGGGAGATGATGAGCCCTTTTTGGAATATTAATTAAGGCAATAATTTCTCATCCCTACAGTGGCCTATTAGCTGCAGTATAAGAAGCAGCGGCATTAACACCCAACTAGATAGCAGTTGGGGGAAAAACTCCTCAGAAAAAGCAGTGGCAAGCCACTTTTTATATCATACAAGAAAATATGCATGGATATGTTCATATAAATATACAGGAAAGCCCCAGCAAGCAGCAGCAGCAGAAAATTTGTTTATTTATTTATATTATTTAATATATGTAGCTACCTATAAACATGTGATTCTAAGGGGCTTCCAATAAAATACCTGACTTTGGATGGTCTTGAAAGCTATGTACCCTTGGTCAGTTCTTAGATAGAAGATTTAGGATCTCAAGACTTTCAGGATTATGCTGGGAAGACCAGCCCCTTCCCCAAGGCAAAGGACTTCTATAACATTGCTACGAAAACTAGATTTAATGGCATCTGTACATATTCATTTGGCATTATAGCTATAGCAGTCAATAAGCTGGTTTACCCAGTATATTGGGCCACAATGTGGTTTGTTGGGTTTTGACAAAGTGTAGTGTGTGAACTAGACCAGGGGTCCCCGGACGGCGGCCCATTACTGGGCCTTAAGCATGCAGAACCGGACAGCAAAAGTGGTGGGTGAGTGCACACCCACCCCCAGTTGCACGAGCAGTGGGTGAGCGCATGCCCACATAGTCAATTTGCACTAACGCGTGCTTGCCCACCACTCACACGAAACCCATCTCCTTTCCCCCCTGCCAGTCCGCCAAGCCAGAAAGATTTGGGAACTCTGAACTAGACCACTGTAATTTGGAAAACAAATTTTGGTTTAGCAAAATTTGTAACTTCAGTTCATAACAGTTGGGAGGGAAAAGTATGCCACTTTCATTTTGATAAATTCTAGGTACATATGCTCTCTATAAGAATATATAAATCCTTCATTCATCCTTAAATACATCAATTCTGTGCTCATTTCCATCCAGATAACTGTCAGCACCCAATATTATCAACTGCATATTGGGAGTTCATTTGCCTGCTTATATAAATCACCAGCCAGATATTGAAGCCATTGAAGTTATTTTTTTTATTCAGGCAATAAAGTCATTTCTTTTTAAAAACTAATAAAATCAAATTTGGTTCTCATCTTCTGAGAACGTTTTGCCTGTCTTGCTGGGCCATTAGATCACAAAATGATTCTCTTCACTGCCATCTAACGATCCCATTTTTGCAGTCTGTTGAGTGAGAGACATACAACTTTAATAAAGTTGTTTTAGTTCAGTTTCTCTTTCACTTGTCAGTGGCAAATGAACTAATCACTGATCAGTGGTTGTATCATGAGAAATATTTAAGCTTGCCTATGACAAAAACCAAAATGGTGTATCTTTTTTCCATATCACGACCCCTCAAATCTCAGCAGTGATGGTAGAATGTAATTCATAGAATTGCTGAGCCCAGGGATTCAAGATAGGTTACAAGATGGCCAGTCCCAACCTCTGTCTCATAGTTGTTTCCTAGCCCCTACCACCCAAAGTAGCTGCTTCCCTCTGCACAATGGTAGGACTGAGCCTATGTTATTACAGTATTGCAACGTCCGTCCGTATGCCATCAGTGGCCAATAAGGTTCTGCTTGTTCCCAGAAGACAAATTAGGCTTGTGCAAAAGAATGAACACAATTTCTTACATTAAGAAAAGCAATATTTTGAAACCGGTGACAAAATACTTCTGCTAACACACAAGTTGCTATGCTTCAGCAAAATCATTTTACAGAGGATTTTCCACCAGGAATAGATTAACTAGAATTTATCAGAAAATATGTTCTGTTTAATTTGGACTTTATTGGACCTGTAAGATACTACCCTTCGTGTAAGCACGCAATTTGGTTACATTTTCCTCCACTTCTAGTCAGAAACTATAAAAGAGAACATACCAAAAACCCCAAGTACAAATTTAAAATGCTAATATAAGTACATTTCAAAAATTGTAACTGCTGCTGGGATGAATTTTCAATTTGCAAATACTTGGATTTTGCATACAACCTAGATATACCGGTACACAAAGTCCTTAACAACAAGTCCTTCATTTAGTGGCCATTTGAAGTTACAATAGCACTGAAAATGTAACCTAGGACCAGTCCTCACATGTACTGCTGTCGCAGCATTCCCACAGTTGCATGATCAAAATTTGGGTGTTTTGGCAATCAACATATATTTACAAGTTGCACTTTCTGCAACCAAGGGGGTGTGTGTGTGTGTACATGCATTCCTTAAAAAAATCCTCCCCCCATGGGTGGTCTGTGTCTTCTTCAATCTCAGGCCCTCTACTAGAGACTTGGGAATTTGTTCCTACATAGTATCTTAGCTTTTACTAGTACTGTACTCTTTAGGACAGGGCGCTCTGATGTTGTTACTGGGATCTATTGGAGCCATTCTGCCAGCTTGGGAATCACAGCCCTGAGCACTCCTACCACCACTGGGACTACTTTGGCCTTTATTTTCTCCATTCTCTCAAATTCTTCCTTCAGGAGCCAATACTTCTCCAGCTTGTCATACTCCTTTCTGATGTTGTCACTTGGCACTGTTACATGTATCACCAGTGCTATCTGATCCTTATCTACTACCAGTGTCTGATTGATTGGTTAGTACCCATCTGTTTGTCTGGATGTGTACGTCCCACAGAATATTAGACCTCTTATTCTCCAAAACCTTAAGTGGAATCTCCCATTTAGACTTGGGAGGGTCTAGCCCAGTGATGGCTAACCTTTTCGTCACATGCCGAAAGTACGTGCACATGCATGCCTGTACCCATAATGCAATGCGTGTGCAAACCCCCCCCCCACGCATGCACGCGTGACCCACACACATGCACCCCATCCCTGCACATGCATAGCAGCTACCCGACAATCAGCTGGCTGGCGGGAGGCATGCACGCATGCGCAGTAGATTTGTTCCGGGCGACGGCTCACATGCTGGCAGAAATGGATCTGCATGCCACTTCTGGCACACGTGCCATAGGATCACCATCACGGGTCTAGCCCATGCAATATGCAGATGTTCCTGTACACAAGGTCAGTTACTTATTGTGCTGTTCCTGCCTGTATCTTACACTCTGGCGTTATGTGTTGGACTGTCTCCAAGACCTGTCTGCAGTCTGCACTTCCACTTCTGGTCCTGTGGTAGACCTCTGCTTCTATGGAGCTGGTGTTTTATGCCTGTTCCTGTGCTATTATGATCAGTATCTCAGGGCTCAGCCACTGATAGGATGAATGGATGGGTAGATGGATGATACACATATCTCCAATAGAAGACAACACCAGGCATCTGATGAAATAGAATCCATAATCAATAAAATGTAATGGTACCCCTAATTTTTATTGTTGGTTTTCCTGAAAACATAACCATGTCCCATAAATTGGCAAAAATAAACACAACAGAATTCAGGCTAGACCAGACTTAAACTCTTCAGAAGTCATCTTGCTTACTGGAGATAAATACAGATATAAGTTAGGCAGAAATGTACTGCAGTGTAAAAGCACAGTTGAAAGTCAACATCAGTGCCTGTTAAAATGAATGCAAGAGCGACTTTGCAAAAAATGAAAAAGATAAACTTGATTTCCCAGAAAGCCTGAGGTATATTTTTTTATTAGTTGAAGAGCAAACCTGCTTAACTGAGGATTCCTGGTCATCTCACTAAAAAAAGAAAAAAAGCTTTCTTAGCCTAATGTATTTTCTCCTTGGTGTTTTTACAGTACCGCCTCTTCACTTCCTTTGCTACATTTTTTGAGGCCTAATCATAGGAGGCCTCTCCCAAAGAAAGAAGCCAATTCTTTTCAAGTTCACTTGGTGCCAATTTTCCTGTCCCTTCAATCAATAAACACAACCGTTTGATGAAGTTGGTTCAGGACAGCCCTTCAGACAGGCCTGGTAGTTATCTGACCTGCCTGGGGGGGTGAGAGAGTAAACAGGCACTGCAATAGAAAACCTGATCCTTGAAAGCTATTTGGATGTAAAATGACAGAACTTTTACAATTCATTTTTGGAAGAATGCCCTGAAATCCAAGTAGTGTCTACTCAAGAGGTTTAACTAAGTTTAACTAAGGTCAATCAAGCTCATTTTGCCTAAGTATGACCCTAAGCTACCAAGATTGTTCAAATCTAATAAAGAGAGACAGGATTACATGTTAAGAGGAGTCGCCATCCCAAATGTTTGAACAATATAAAAGTTAATTTTTAAACAAATATATCTACTTAGCGTTGTTGGAATATATGACTTAGTTACACAGCAGGCTAGAGCTCTCACACTCTGCAAACTGTACTGTATTCTCTGCCAAAGGAAAGGCATTCTGCACATGCTCAAATGCCTCCCTTTCTGGACCCCCGTGTTCCACAACTGAGCCTTGACGAGACCGTTCCCCTCTGGAGCTAAAACGACGTGGCACAGAACGAAACGCTGCGGTAAACGAAACAACCTGAGAAAGAAATGCTTCTCTCCCCTGCGAAACCTATGCATTATTGCAGTCAGGGAGGAAAAGGGCCGCCCGGCCGCCCCGCTGCAAAGCGAACCCACCGACGCAGCGCCGTTTCTTTTTCATTCTCCCGCGTAGGGAGGCGAACCGGGAAGCGGGGACACCCCCGGGCATTAACCAGCCTCTCAGTCTGCGCGTGCTGCGCTGCCCGGGTCCCCCGGGGGCGGGGGGGGGGGGGGGGGAGGGTGCCGCTGCCGCCCAAACCCTCCGAGTGCCTTCCTCTCGCGTGGGCTGGCGTTGAGAACCAGGCCGGAAAAGTGCCCAGCCCGGGCCAGGTTTCCGCGCCCCGACCGCTGTGTCTCCTCCCTGCGCCTCGGAGGCCCGCCCCCTTCTTCCCAAGCCGCCGCTCTCGGGCTCTGGGTCGACCTCGGGAGCTGCAGCGCACCCCGGCCAGGCCGCGCGGCGCCCCTCCCTCGCCTCGCCTCGCCTTTCGGCAGCGCCTCCGCCACCGCAGCGGGCCCAGCGCTGAGGCGAGCAGGACGGGAACTGCTGCTGCTGCTGCTGGCTGGGTAGCCGTCACCCGGGAAGGCCTCGGACAGAGAAGGACCGGAGCGGAGACCCGGCCAGGCGCGGGGACATGGTGACGGGATGGCCCGCATCGCAGACGCCTTCCCTCTGCACCTGCTCGTCTGGCACAACCGGCACCAGGCGCTGGACAGCGAGCTGCGCAAGGGACAGGTACGCGGAGCCCCCTCCCCGGTCCGGGACGTCTGTTTTTCTGCTCTATCCACCCAGCCCAGCCTGCCTTCCCTCTCAGCCCGAGCCCAGGGGCGCAGAGAGAAGGGGCTGTGATGGAGAGAGTCCCGAGCTTCTTCTGCCTCCCCATTTCATCCCCTCGCTGTCAGGGGAGGGGGCAGTGAACGAGGCCTGTGATTCCCCTAATCCCGAGATGGCTACTTCTAATCTAGATTTCACTTGCATCCCATGGAACCCGCTTCTAATGAATTTCTCTCTTCCTCCTTACTGGCATGGAAAATGTCCGACGAATATTTATTTCCAGATACTAGTTGGGAATCACTCTTTTCCTCAGTCTCGGGGTAGCAACCCTGGTGCTGCATCTCCATTATTTCTCTCCTGTCTCAGAACTCTCCTTTCTTCCTCTTCATTACAACCCAAGGAGCAGTTTGAGGATAGTTATGTAGATCAAGCCACATTTGGAAATCCCCACATACTAGACCTACCTTAACAATAGGCGCTTCAGAGAAAAGAATACTCCTCCTTTTTTGGCACTCAGCTTGAAATCCCACAGTCTAGTGTGCTTTCAATCATAGTTACTCTGCAGCTTCCCCCAGACAGGGTATATGAGGGCAAAGGATCACACTTAGTTGGCGTGTATGCCCCTGGCCTGGTAATGATTATAACATCCTCTGGTATGGAGGGCAAGCTTTTCCTATTCTCCTTCCCATTTCAGCTTCTTATTCAGGACAATAATGTATAAATGGCCACCATTTTGGGAAAGAATAAAATATTATTAAACTTAAGCATGTGTGTACCCAATTGACCCTGGCTCTTTCTTTGTCCATTTCTACACTTAAACAAATAAAATGAAGACTTCACAGAATATCACTTACAGTGATATTCAACTATGGTTGAATGCCATTATGGTAATCATTAGTGCATGTACACTATCCAGGGATGGATGCATTATTCTAAAAGATTCTGTAAGTCACTGCTGAAAATCTTCCTTTTACTACTTTTTATAGGCTATTTGAGCCTGTGCCTATTTGTGCTTTCTGCAGTGCACTGTTTAACATTATCAAAAATGCATTGCAGATTTCACTTCCTGTTTGTCCCACAGATTAACATCATGCATTGGATAGGCATTTGTGCTCCAAAAAATTGATAGAAATAGACAGTCTCAGATTGGTAGTTTGTTGGACTCCTGCTAATTTTATATATTTGTTTTTCTACCTGGAGGTTAAAACAAGGAGAATAGTATCACCAGAACATCTGGGCTATGTATTATAGAAAGAATCTTGCCTGATAATTATTTTGGAACTGAGACAAAATGGGGATCAGTTCATTTGAGTTTTCAAAGGTCTATGCTATGAAATGATAATAACTTCAGAAAGTAAAAAAAAATCCTACCTGTTGTTTTCTGGGGGGAAAAGGAAATTATTTGGAGCATCTGGAAAGTGAATTTTGGAAAACTAATATTTTGAGTCATCTAGCCATCCAGATACTTCTGGAAGTTTATAAATATGGTGCTAAAGGCAATTACTGTGTCCTGTTTACCCTCCCTGGGGTTTTTCCTCCGTGTCTCTACAAATGTGAAAATTCTGAAGAAGAGCTAGTAAGAGAGTATTGGGACTACTAGGTCAGGATAGAGCAACAAGTTTATAAATGGCAAATGATTGGGAGTAGAAGTGGTGAGACTTTTTAAGCGAGTCTCCTTTCTTTTCCTCCCTCCCTCCCTTCCTTCCATCCATCCATCCATCCTATGTAAAATGTGTGACTAGTTAAGTTCAACCCACGTATTCCCTTTGAATTTAATTGGTAATCTGAGGTTCATTCATTAGTGAGTCAAATATCTCTGAAAAATTTATACCATGGAACAACAGTTGGTGCCCCCTCATTTTTAAACTGAGCTGGATGACAGTTTCTCAGAGTTGCAATAGTTGTGTCCTTCATTGTTGAAACAAGGCTGGAATAGATTTTGCCCCAACATATTTTCCCACTAGTGAATTACAAATCAACTTTCTATAATTCCTTGCTGTAGTGTTAGTAGCTATTAGATTGTGTAGATGGATGCTTATTAAATTAACCTCCTCTAAATAATCTTAACTACATTGCTCCAAAACATGTTAATTTTTGTTTCTTATTTTTTTATTTACTGTGTAAGTATGCATTGTAGTGTATACCTTCTGTCATTAAAAAGCAAATCCAATTGGGCTGATCTTGGTCCCTTTTGTCAGAAGGAAAGATTGTTGATGTGAATGGCTACCTTTATAATAACGAAACTGGAGGATAACATTGCAAGACTCTTTCATCAGGAAGTCAAAATTGAATACCAGTACTGTATTATAAAACAATTTATGGGCTGAAATACCACTGTAGGCATTAATTTACATTATACAGCAATGTTGGTTCTTTAGTCCTTCAGCTAGCTGCTAGTGGATAAAACTATATTACAATTCCTATTAGTGTCCTTTGTGTCAGTTCAGTTAACTCTATGAATTATATCTAATCCTGGATGGCCTTAGAGATAAAGAGCAATATTTGAGAACAAGTGCTGGCTGAATGGCATTCTTTAACAGAAGATATTTGAACAAGGCCATTCTCAAGACTGATCCCAGCACTGAAAATTGATCGAGCTTGCAGTTGAAGTTAAACACCATGCTTGTTTTACCTGCAAAACATTTCTTATCCAGATTATTAATCCTCTGATTCTTTTGCAGCATGATATTGAAATGCTTGACCCACGTGGCCGAACACCTCTGGAATTGGCAGTGTCCCTTGGGAACTTGGAATCTGCCCGTGTATTGCTGCGACACAATGCCAGTGTGGGTCAGGAGAATGCCAATGGCTGGACAGGTAGGACATAGTTGAAAGTCTGTATTGCTAGAGCAACTAGATGTGTTCCTCCTTTACTTCCTGGCTTCTGTGGCAAAATATTTTAGTTTGTACAAATTTAAAAAAAAAAACCTGCTTAACAGTGTAAAAAGCTGTTAGATTTTTTTGCTTGTTAGGTATGTAAACTTCCTAGCCTAGAGCACTTAAAATATTTTGGGACAGATTATCAAATGGAGATTATAGGAGTGAATTAAGTAAATAAAATGGGCTGTAGGGTTCATTTTTTAAAATAAAATAATTTCTTATATGGCAGGCAGAGAAAGGTAGAAAATTGGAAAGGATTGAAAGTTGGAGACAGGAAGGCAAAACTATTGAAAAATTAAGGACTTGTGACATCTGCTGTGAGGAATAGACAGTGAAGGATGGAAATCATTGTTTTCTCATGAGACAGTAAAGTCTCACTTCCTTCAAGCCTCTGGTCAACTCCTTATCTTTCACACTTGTTTCTGGAAAAGGACAAGTTTGTCCAAATGTCTCCATGAGGTGACCATAAATGCTTCTTACTGTGTATTTGTTTTAAGACCGCCAATAGACCACAGGTGGTCCTTGACTTACTGCCACAGTTGAGCCCAAAATTTATGTTGTTAAGTGGGACAGTTGTTCAGTGAATTTTGTCACATTTTGCGACCATTCCTGCCACAGTTGTTAAGTGAATCATTGTAGTTCTTAAGTTAGTAACGCCTTTGTTAAGTGAATCTGGCTTCCCCATTGACTTTGCTTGCAAAGCAAAGGTTGCAGAAAGTGATCATGTGATCCTGAGATACTGCAACCATCATAAATATGAGTCAGTTGCCAAGCATCTGAATTTTGATCATGAGACCATGGGGATGCTGAAATTGTCATAAGTGTGAAAAAGAGTCATAAGATACTTTTTTCTGTGCTGTTGTAACTTCAAATTGCACTAAACAAACTGTTATAAGTCAAGGACTACTTGTATTTCTAATGGTTAATCACTCTAGGTTTTAATTTTAATTTTTAAAATTTTCTTTAAGATATAAAAAAGCAAATCTGTGAAGCAAAACCATTAAAACAGAAACTATACAGATTTCCTGAAACACCATGATATAAATCAGATGGAATTATGTTAATGTTGAAACCTTCTGAAAAAATTTAGACTTCTCTTTCAAGAAGAAAAATGACTTAACCAAATACACTACAGTGAAACATTCTTGCCAAACCATCTAATTGATTTATATCCTTAACATAAATAATAACATTCATAGTTATTAAAAAGCAAATTGTCTACACCAAATATATTCAGCAAGGAGATCTTCATATTTCAGCAGATTTCATTGTGAAATCTACCAAAAAGTCAAGTTTCCTCATGATTGCATTTGTTTTGTGTCAGCTGAGATGTAACCTTCAACTAATTGAATATTTAAGTTGCAGATAGAAGAGTGGGCTTTCCACTGTGCAATTTTCTTAGTATTATGGTACCTTTCCCACTCTTTCTGCTCAGGTTCCTAGCACTGTTGACATAAATAAACACAATTCCAGTTCTTCTGGCATTTAGATGTTTCCTTTGATAGATATAGATACAGATAGATAAAGAGGTTGAATCTGATTCTTCTGGATGTGAGAATAGAGTAAAATTCAACTGAGGTTAGAGATAAGGTAAGGCATAATGAAACAGAAGGAAGATCCAAGAAGCTAGATACTTACTGTTTCCTTCCTTCTTTCTGTGGCATCTAGTCCTTCAAGAAGCTGTAAGCACTGGAGATCCAGAGATGGTACAGTTGATACTCCAATATCGTGATTACCAGCGTGCCACACGACGACTGGCTGGTATTCCAGAATTACTCAACAAACTACGTAGGGTATGTATTAATATAATCTTCCAGATAAATTGGAGTATTTTCCATTCTCTTTTGGAGTCTGCAAATATTTATTTTGCGATATCTATCCTCTGGCTTTGTCAAATATTCTTGCCAAAAGTTGTAAAGAGGAGGAAATTAAACCTTGTCAAACAATTTCTTGTGCAGCTTTCCTCAATTTGGTGCCTCTCAGGAAAACATGTTGGCTCGTATTATGAAAGATGTAATCTTGCACTTTGGAAGAACATACATTTAGAGAAGTTTGCTCTTGTGGATTGTTCTTCTGTTTTTCTCTAAGATCTGGCTGCATTTGGTTTAAAAAATAATAGTCTAGATACAAGCAGTCCTTAATGTATGACCACTATTGAGTCTGGGATTTTGGCTGCAAGTTGTTGCAATTGTAAGCTGAATCATTACATAACCGGACTTGTTTTTATGTGAGTCATTGCAGTCATTAAGCGAATCACATAGTTGTAAGTCTCAATCCAGTTTATCCAATAGGCACTGTTTGTTGCTTTTTGCTGGAAAATGGCAAAAATATTACAAAATACAATCACATTGGAAATGGCTTGAAGTTTATTACAACATCCTGGGATGCTGCATCTGGTTATAAATGTGAGCCAGCTGCCAAGTGCACAAAATGCCATCCTGTGACTTCAGGGGTGATGTGACAGTTGTAATGTTGAGGACAAGTTGTAAGTAACCTTTTCAAAGTCAGTAAGTAAGCCTTGTAAGTCGAGGACTACTTGCAGTTAACAACATTAACATCTTTTATTTCTGTCCGAAGTATGTGCAGTTATATTTCTTTACCATATTAATTTGTAGGAAATATGTTGGAATGGCACACTTTCAGGATTTCAGAAGTAATTTCTGGGAATCCTGAAAACATCAGCACTGAACTTTTAAATATTTTCTTCTTCAGTGTCTTTTGAAACATTCTTGGCCTTGCTAGTTGCCAAACCTAATTGCATAATATACTCCTACTGACAAAAGATTTGTCATAGTGTTAAGCCCTGTCTATTTCAGAGGAAAAACATACAGAGGTTGTATCTTCCTGTCCCTTCTCTTGTTTGTACTGATTTCACTTCTGGTTTGTAATGAATTAGTTTTCCATTTCCTCAGGCCCCTGACTTCTATGTGGAAATGAAGTGGGAGTTTACCAGCTGGGGTAAGTCAGTACTTCAGGTGTATAATTCAGTGAGTAAAGAGAAAAAATGAACACAAGATAGAAAAGATGGTGTGCAGAAGAATATTTGAACTAAGGAATGAGATTTCCTTGTTTGGTTATTATCATTACTTTTCAGAATAGATTTGGCCACTAACTTTCAAAAAGGGTATCATTGGCAGAGCATGTGGACTAACTGTTTGTTTTGTGAAAAAAGGAATTCTGCCTCTTGTTCTACAGTCAGTGCAGTGGCTTCTTCCATGGGCAGTCTATCCAGGGGATTTTAACATGTGATAACACAAGTAGTGCTCCGAAGTTTTTAAGTGATAATTTGGAAGGTCCCACGCAGATGCCTCAGGGACCTATTAAATTTGTTGTTTACTCTTAGGCATGTTGCTGTCTCATCTTACCCTACTTTTAAAGAGGCTATAATTCCTTCATGGAAAACAGTCTTGTACAAATGTGACTCATTATTTAATAGTTCCAGGTAATGATCCTTATGCCTCTGTTTATTATCTTCCTCTCTCTCTCTCTCTCTCTCTCTCTCTCTCTCTCTCTCTGTAGTGCCTCTTGTCTCCAAAATATGTCCAAGCGATGTGTATCGGGTATGGAAGCGGGGTGAAAACCTGCGGGTAGACACTACCTTACTGGGCTTTGAGCACATGACCTGGCAGCGGGGCCGGCGCAGCTACATCTTTAAAGGCGAAGGTCAGAATATCCCTTTCTTGGGAGATGGGCGCGTGCTCAGTGACACATGTGGTTTTGGTAGAAAGTGTTTTTCTTCCAAGGTTGCATTTTCATCCTCTTTCTCCTCCCCCTTTTTTTAGATGAAAATGCTGTGGTGATGGAAGTTGACCATGATAAGCAGGTTGTGTACACTGAGACATTGTCACTAGCCTTGCATGAGCCTGAGCTGATGCTGGCTGCCATGCAGCCTTCGGAGGAACATGTTGCCAGTCGCCTCACATCTCCTATTGTCTCCACCCACCTTGATACCAAGAATATTGCCTTCGAGCGGTGAGTTTTGGCAGAAGGAAGGGAATGTATTATTCAGTGCTTATCAGTGCCCATATATGGGGGATTGTGTGGGAGGAGCAGGAACATAGTGACCCTGTGTGGCAATTGTTGGGGAGCAAGAGCAGGAGAAACTACCGAAGATTTTGCTTTGATCCTGTAAGCTGCTTGATGTTCTCATACCATAAGAGGGAGCCGAGGAAATCAAAATTGAAGTGAGACCCAACTTGGAAAGAAAGTCTCTCTGATTCTTTGAGCACTAAATAGTTTTTTCAGGAAGCCTTATATTGGAAATGGCTTGAAGTTTATTATGACAAAATACAGTTCAACACCCTACTTTTGCCTTTGATCTGGTTACTGGAAGACCAGGTTTCCTTACACAAGAAAATAGTTGCTCTGGAAACACCACTTAGTCTCTTTAGTTAAGGCTTTTTAAAGGTAGAGGTATAGGCAGGTCTATTTGTGCAATAACAGCATTTAATGTAATTAATACCGTGTTTCTCACATAATAAGGCCGGGCCTTATTTTTTTTTGACCCCCGAAAAAACGGCTAGGCCGTCTTTTCGGGGGTGACTTAATTACCCCCCCCCCATGCATCCGGGTGGGCGGCCGGCCGACAGCTTCGGCAGACCTTCCGCCACCGTTGCTTTTCCTTCTCCCTTGCTGCCGCGGCGTTAGAGCAACGCCGCAGCGTTTGGCGCAGCCACGTGCGGCCAGTCAGGGCTCCTCCCTACAACCGGAGCCCTGAGGAGACACTTGGCTTCAGGCGCTCCTGTCGCCGCCTTCCCTTTGTCTTCGAAGGAAAAGCCAATTCTTTTAAAAATGACGCCCTACTCCAACAAAGCCTCCCCTGCCCAAGAGGGCAGCCCAACCCCACGTGGGG